CTGTATGTGCGCAATCCATTCATTCATCTGCTGTACTCGGTCCATTGCGAACGAACAGGAACTTTTTGGTAGCGGGACTGACCCGAACCTACATCTGTTATCACTGATGTGGCTTCTTATCATGTCTGTTCCGACAAGTAGTTTGCCGAATTGCTTTGCTTTCATTACCAGCACTCTCATCAGCTCAAGTGACCAACGGCCCCTAGGTTAGAAGCGCTTTTCATCATCCTGATACGGCTATTGCTAGTCGACTGTTTCGTATCATTCATTCCGCAGTGTTCGCTTCTGATCATTTCTGGTTTCTATTCATCCACAATTCATTCCCTACTCACGACGAGCGAGTATATTCGATTCACAAGTGCATCACTTCAAAAAGCATTTCAAAAATTGGCGTGCTCAATGAAAATCTATTGATGAGCTTTCTGCGAAATTCTGATGCTAGTCACTGTCACGTCAGAGTACTGCTGTACTGTTTTGATCACACTTTTAAAAATAAATAGACAATAAAGAGACATCCTGCTTACGTTAGAGGTGAAAGTAGTAGTATGAATGGTCGTTGCACTTGTGAATGCTTATTTAAGAGGTCAGCTAATCCTCACTTTCGCTTCATTCACCGTTGAAGCGAGTTTTCGCCAGAACAATCAACCTTGGATATGGAAGGTTCTATAATGTAGCTGTGTTCTGAGGTCACGGATGATAATAAGTTTCAGGAGGTCACTTCAGTCTGTGCCATAAAATTATGTGCATACAAAAGGAAAATCGAGCATGAAAAAGCAATCGCACCTTCCTTTCCATTGTAAATTTTGTAGATGAATCACCCACTGTTCTGCAATGAACCAAGTCCTGTTCCCTTTTTAGATAGATTTTGTAGAGTTCATTCTCAAATTAAACACCGAGAAGAGACAGTAGACGATCTCCCGGTCGCGCAAGTGCATCCGCACTTTGCATCATTTCGCACGCACTCGTCTGACAGTTCTTTCATACTTGCACTTTACTCAGGAATTTGATAGGGGAATTGTAACTTGCTCGGGGGCGAAATTCCAGTCTACCTATTAACCTCTTCTGTTTTCGTGGAGCTCGTCCATCAATAGTTCTTGCATTTTGCTGTTTAGCATGTGATTCTCCAAGTTGATTTCTCGATTGCAGATTTATTTGTTTTTCACGCAAACGCCAACATTCTGACAAGTATGAAAACACTTTTGTTTATCACGATTTCAATTGCAATTGTGTGATACTGTGATTACACTCGTTACGCAGTTGATTTGCTGCCTTTTTTCCTGTTCCAAGTAAATATTTTTCACATATTTTTCAGAACCCGATTTATCTCGATGTCACGAAGACGCGCTTCCGACTTTGCTCACAACTTCTTTCGATCAATTATCTATCGATTTCGAAAAGACGCTAAGCGTTCCCTGTCTACGGGAGATCTAGCGGACAATTATATGATGATAGATTTCTCACAGCCGACTACGGTAATTACTTTTTCGTTTCTCCGATTTTGTTGCTTTATGTGCAAAAATTCAGAGTGGCCTTCCAGCTCATTTCGATGATTGCGATAGAGTGCCAATGGTTTTTTCGGATTCTGTACACCCTCATCTTCTGTCGCAACACGATCGCTGCGCCCAGCGACTGATTCGCCGTGGAAGTGAAGCGGATTGTGATTTTGGTTGGTTTGCTACTGTTCGTCTTTTATCTTATTGTGAGACTCATTCACAGTCATCTTCAGTTTCCACTGCCGATTATAATCGTGCGCAAGTTTGGTTCTATCAAGGCATGGACCTCAGCAAAGCTGAACGATTATTGCAGAGCTCCGGCTGCGAAGACGGGTTAGCCAACATCCCATTATATTTGGATGTATGTAAGCGCTAATTTTTAGCTCCTTCGTAATCTCACAGCAGTCACTCCAATACGTTTTATCGTTCGTGCACAGTGGATCTGTGCATCACCTCCGCATAGGATATTCAGTGGGAAGTTCAGGAGAAGCTAAATTTCGACTTGACATAGATCGCAGCTTCAAGTAAGTCCGAGCAGTCCTCATTTCTATAACAACCTCAAAATTTTGTTTAGAAATCTTCGCGATCTGGTCTCGTACTATAGCAAACACAGGTCATTCATACTTCCTATGAAACTGAAACACGGTATCGAGAGGCCACTTCACTTACTCAACGAACGGATGCGCGCTTAGAAGACGTCTTACTCTATATAGATACCATAGTGTACGAGTTCCAGCAGCTGGCAATAGGCCTGTCTCTCTGTGATACATGTGCCCTGATCTGTTGAATGCTCGAGCTCGAGTTCAGCTCTAGACTTTGTGAATCTCTGAAAGACGTGTTTATGCAATTGTGTGTCCGTTATCTGCTCATTCCCATCACAGGAGAACTTTGATGTGCTGCCTTTTTATTTTGAAAGTATGTACATTTATATAATTGTCAGTGCTATTAATTAACTTATTCTGCTTCACAACGTATAATAAATGTCAACAATAAAATAATTAAGAATAAAGTAAACGTCTGGCTCGCATCATTGTGCTGCTTGATGATGCAATGCACTCAGAGAGCGTCCGACCATACTCGCAATTGAACCTGGAAGCACAAAAAATTTATGCTATGAACGAAACTGAATCGGAAA